CTCAGTGACATCGTCAGAGTCATCGTAGCGACGTGCCTTGCCCCTGCGCAGTCTTGTTGACCTACGCCTTCTTCGAGCCTCAATGACATCATCAGAGTCATCGTAGCGACGTGCCTTGCCCCTGCGCAGTCTTGTTGACCTACGCCTTCTTCGAGCCTCAATGACATCATCAGAGTCATCGTAGCGACGTGCCTTGCCCCTGCGTCTTGTTGACCTACGCCTTCTTCGAGCCTCTAGCAGGTCTGTGATATCATGGCGACGTGTTCTACGCCTAGTAGACCGCCTGGTAGATCGTTTCCTGCGTCGGGCCTCTAATATTTCATCGTCCGCCTCATGACTTCGTCCAGTTCGTCGACGACGGTGTCTCCTACTGCTTCGTGTCCTTCTGCGACGACGGGCTACGACGATATCATCGTTGTCATTATGTTGTCGTCTTCTGCGCCTAGTTGATCGTTTTCTTCGCCTACGTGCTTCCAGAATCCCATTGTCATATGCAGGATAGAAGCGGTTTTGTCTCACAGTCAAGAAACCCTCGTCCACTGCTAACTTTAAAGACTTTTTGAAGTCGGGGAGGCTGTCTAGGCCGTAGTTGTTGCGTAGAAACTCTGCAACGGCTGGGACGCTGACACCTTTACTCTTATCCAGGTACAACACCGCAGTCACAACGGGACCTAATTTTGCTCTCATTGTTAATCACTAATTAATTTTTTGTGCAGTTAATTTTGATACACCTTTTCTCTAAGGCAGTCAGAAACTAATTAAATTGTTAACCAATTGTTGCTAGGTTACAGATTTGTGATTGTTTTGAGATTGTCTTCTGTCTTTAATGCAGATCAGTTGAATCACAAAGTGTTCAATGAGTCATTCAAAGCCCTTAGATTTGCTTTATTTTGTCAATTGGAAATTAGCAAGAAAATATTTTTAATGTTAAAAAAAGTAAAGCAATTTATAAGATATGTAAATTATAGTTAGTCCTTGCTTTTAATATTTTGTTCAGTAAAAAATACAAAAAAATTGTACATACTTTATTACATCTTTTTACAATTTAAGTTTTATTCGTCTGGCTACAATCGCCTTTAGCATGGTGAACAGTGGGGCGTAGTGTGGGCCATTCTTATCGGTCGCCAGAGGCAATTTCTGATTGTAAAGGTACAAACTTATCTGTCGAAGGAAACAACATATTCATGTTGGGAAAATCTCATAAAGTTAATCATTGTTACCCCTCGGAAAATTATTCAGCCATTTTACAAAATTAGCAAATTTCAAATTTAAGTCCAGTCAGATCTTAACAACGATAGTTTTTCAATTTTACATTATACCACTCCTAATCCAATTTAAATACAATTTTTGAAAATATTTTTTTTACCATACACCCTCAACTTGTTTATAGCTGTTCTTTAGATTATTTCAAGCAACCAAGTGTTAGAATTTATTAAAAATAACCTTACTTAAGGAAATTTTAACTTACAAAGCAAATAATGGGCTTTAAAATCTGCTTACTTTTCCAATAGTTTCCTTTCTCACTGACCTTCAGATTCTTGGGCGGTAAAAGTGTCAAATTAGGCGTGAAGTGTGGTCAATCTTTCATTCAGAACTCTATCCAATTGCAATACACAGCCTTGAGAATATAAACTAATTGCTGTACAGTATGCTTCAATTTGTATTAGCTTTAGGCCTACCTACTATTAAAAAAAATGCTTTAGTAAGTTGATATTTATTGCTGAAGTTAATGATCAGCATTCTATTCTCCTATTATCTTGTCAACAACCCTTATCATGAGTAATAATGTTATATTTTTTGGGCGGAAATCACAAAAATTGTAATAACTTTTGAACCTTAATTTTTACAGCATTAGGTGTGGTAAAATTTTGTTTGGAATTAAAAGGGCCATAACATAAAAAATTTTAATAGTTCAAGCAGTTTTGTGAAAATCTAATATTTGTTGTTTTTGTGCCATATATTAGTACCCACATACCAAAATTCATCAAAATAGGTGTAGTCTTTAGCTCTATACGTACATACATACATGCACAGACATTACTTGAAAACCACATTTTGGGTTCAGGAGGACCCAAAAGTCTTGTTTCCTCCCTAACTCGGAACTCAAATATTTTGACAAAAACAACAAAATTTGTATTATACTATGATACTATTACTAAAAAGTTTAAAGTGTGTTTTAAAAGCCCCATTAGACTCACTGACCAGATACAAATCTCAAAGGCATTTAAATATACTTTGCTACAAAGCATCCTAAGTAAAAGTTCAACTAACTGTAGTATGAATCAGATTTTAACAATCCAATGTTCAATGATATATTCCGGATTAGATATCTGTATGTTTACTAATCAACAGATAAGCTATAAAAACCATTGATGTTGAGCAGAAGAAGAGTTTTGTCGCAAGACTGAGCCGGGAGATGACAGATTGGTGATTTGTCATCTTCTTGTGTTGCCGTTGTAACCGCTCATTGGCAGCTCGTCAACTTTTTTTACATTCAGTCACATTAGCAACGATAATTTTATTGTTGTAAATGCTTGTAAATTAATATGTTTTTGTGTGAGCAAATTTTTGTGTATGCATTGCTACTGAAATATTTTTAATGGTTAGTTTACATTGATTTCAATTAATGTAATTTGACACACGCTTACTTTGTACATCTGATGACATTTTCAATGATGGGGAAGTGGGAAATTTAATGCATTGTGGATGTACCGGGAATTGAACTCAACTTTTTTGCACCAAAGTCCGAAGTGCTAACTACTACTAGTTCGGTAGTTAACACAACCAAACTAAAAAATGTTCTAATTTGGTTATTTTGTGAATATTCTTAACCAAGTCTTAAGTTTAAAAGTCAAAGGAAACAAACCTTCATTATTCATGCCACCAAACTGTTGACCAAAGTTGTCTTACTGTGTAGGCTATACAAAATAAATATTACTTAATAATTAAGGCAGTAATTGATCGATACATATTCAAACTTAAACAACATCGAGGGAGTTGGGGATCTTTGAAGAACCTTGAACTATTCAAACCCTTGAAGCTCTCGTTGTGACCTCACAGCTCCGAGCCACAATTAATTGTAATGATGGGCAACATCCTAGTTCATTCCCCCGGTGTCTTTTAATTTCTCTCTTATAAGAGCTAGTAGTATCCTCGATTGAATGCAAGAACAAGCTTTTGTTGCTGATTAATGTTTTGGAAATAAACATATTTATCTTAAATTCTGTTTGTGTCTCATTAGGACAAAACCTTTGCACTAACACAGTTTTTTTTTTTTAATTAGGCCAAAATATTTAGTTTTCGAAATTGTGTGGAGTCCAAAGGTTGTAATTTACTACTCCAGACAAACATATATTTTCTTAGCAATCCTTTTAGAGAACTAACTTTTACCATTGACTATTGGATACTGAAGTAGACAGACGTCCCATATGGACTAGCTGGCGCCAATTTTTTATTAGAAAAGAATGTAGTTGTGTGAGCCAGTCACAGAATGCATGTCTAAAATTATATTTTCTACCTTATTTTGTGTTGCTGACTCAGTTCATGGGTCTTAACAGTTGCTATTGCTCACAAATAGTCGTTTTATCAATATGACTTGGAAAAAAAATTTGTATTTGACAGTAATTAGTCATTTAGATCAGAGCAATCTGTCGGTGGCTCACATCAACTACGACGATTTTGATTTAAAAACTAGCAACAACTTTAACATAGGGATGGAATGTCTAGTTGTTGTATTAATAGTCAACGCTTTTACTTGACTGTATTTTAGTGTACAAAACTCTATCTTAACAAATATATTAAATTTAAATTGACCATCCCCACACCCTTAAAAGCTATTTGAAGATCATTTTATACATGTTTTGGTTAAGAATGATTGTTAACAATAACGTTAATTTATCATAGCATATTTTAATTTGTTATTTTAAAATAGTTCTTCTCATATTTTTTAAGGATGTAGGCCTATAGTTTTATTTTATCCTGAGTAATTAGGCGGTATGAATCAAATAATTTAGTGGCGAGCTGAATGCACGTTCACATTGCCTAATAGAACCCTTTACCCACTATCATCGAAAATGGGAAATACACTAGCTTTGCAATCATAAGTCAGGAACTTTCCTTAGCTTTTCAGTTTAGGTGAAATAATACTATTATTTTTGTCATCTATTACTTTTTTATCAAGGTTATTACAGCCATTCACCGTAAATAAGAAGACATGATCAGATTTATTTCACTTGCTTTTCTAACAGTTCCGGCGACGTTACAAAAATAATCATATTCTCAATCATCTATTGCCAGTATTTTAAACAGTTCAGGTGACTTTAGTAATTTCAGTAGGCCTAACACAATCGATGTTATTTCACTTGCTCTTCTTTCTAACAGTTTAGACGACCTAACAAAAATAATAGTATTCTCAATAATCTATTACCGTGGTAGGCTACTGTTACTTTGTGATGCCTGCTGTTAATGGAAGATATGATCAGCAGTAGTTATCAATTAATTATCAAATTGATTTGTATAAGGGAATTATCAATAACAATTTTGGTTTTTAATACAGTCTACTAAAAAGTCAAAATAAAAAAAAATGTTGGTTATGGGATTTTTGCAATAAACGATTCAAATTATTTAAGATGGGGATGCCACTATGTGCGTATTTTAACCCATGAGTGTAGGATGATTAGGGTGATTGTAGTCTTAGTGACTAAGGCCAACATGTTCCTTAAAAAGACACAGCTGTAAATTAATAGCCCATACAGCCAATGGCAACTAAGGGACCGACAGTTTATAGTGGTATCTGAATCACATTTTTATCGTTTGTTTAAACAGTTCATATGGCGTTACTAAAATATTAGGGTATCCTCATTAATAGTTATTTATCATATTACATTTAACAATTGCCCAATGCCCACCACCTCTATTTCAGAGCTTTCTACAATCTTTGTTGTCCAGCATAGTTAGGTTGAGATGACGCTTGTCCTGATCGCATGTGTCGTATGTTCCAGCGCTGGGAGCCGCCTACGGGACGGCCAAGTCAGGCACAGGTATCGCAGCCATGTCTGTGATGAGACCAGAACTCATCATGAAGTCCATCATCCCCGTGGTCATGGCTGGTATCATCGCCATCTACGGTCTGGTCGTGTCTGTGCTCATAGCCGGAGCTCTGGAGACACCCGCCAACGGCTACACCTTGTTCAAGTGAGTGTTAGACGGTTTGTTGCGTAAATGCATGTGCGTTAGCTAGTAACAAATCTCTGAATTGGTTTGGCTGATGCCTGTTGACTTGCATTATACAGAAAGTCCCACAAAGAAAATTACTATAGTTCGGCCGCTTAGAAAACGACTGTAAGATTTCTGTCAAAAATTCTGACTTTTTAACCAAGTCAAACTGACTAGAGTTGTCGGGTAGTTATTAAATATTTTTTGCTATTAAAATAACTTCACGTGTTGTAAATATATATCGTTTTTACGGTTATCCACTTACGTAAATTAAAATGGGTTTCTGAAAGGTACAGGAGTAGGCCTACTTGTGTTATTTAAACCAAAAGTAAATAAACATAATGTAAAAATAGATTTCTCTTCACAGAGTTCAATCTAAGGATCTATGCCATGAAGTGTTTTTGTTTTTAGTACATCAATTAAATTGATACATCTTTGTTACAAAAATTCAAATTGAACCCATTTCATCAATTTATTTATTGCCAATCGACAAATACAAATTTTAAATACGGTAGACACTTTTTCTCTTTACTCAAATTTTTTTATAATAGGCCTTTATTAAATAATAATGTTTGTGCCATTGGTGGAAAAACATTTATTGCACTTAATTTTCCGCATCAAAAGAACCAATACTTTGAAGAACATTCATTGAACCTTTGCATTTTGTAACTGAGCAAAGTAATTTTATAAAGAGATAAAACAGTAATTTGTCAAACAAGACTGGTTATGTTGGTAGCACTGAAGCAGCATGTGGTTGGGAGGGAATGCCCTGCCACGCCTTGTTTAGTCATGTGCTCTCACTCGCACACACTCACACACATGCACGCTCACACTCGGTATTTGCACTGTCAGACGATTCAGCTTTCCTTTTACCCAACGTTGTCACTGAAATTGATTAATTTGCTGGATTGTTTGCTTTGCTAGCTTGTCTCAACTTCTGACTTTTATATAACTGGTGACAATTTTATAAATTAATCACAATGTTTGAAAAATGATCAAATGAAGTAGTGCTAATTGAAGTAAAGTAATTGAATTGACAATGTAATGTAAACATTTACGTCTATACTTTGCATTCCAATTTTAAAAGCTAACATACTTTGTCAAATGAAAGTATATTTCTTTTATATTAAATTATATTAGCAAATTAAATCATTTATGTAGCCAGAATTAACAAAACAAGTTGCACTAGACAAGTCATAACATAATTATAAAACATTCCCTACATAATTTTTAAAAAATAAAAATAATAATGGGTTTTTTATTGTAATAATCATTTACTTAAATTATTTGTACCAATTTAACTTGTGTAATTACACACCATCTAAAACATTTTATTTAAGGTTAGTTGTATTTGATATCTGAAATAGGATATTAAAAAAAATAATTAGCAATATTTTTAATTGAAACTTGTGTCAAAACTTTCTTGGTCAATAATTATGTAACCAAAAATATGATCAGGGCTGGTAATACATTGATTTTCTTTAAAACTTTTTATCTTAATAAGCAGCCTTCTTGGGTTACTATCTGAGCTAGTTAGGTACTATCTACATATTCATAAACCAAGGTTTTCCCTGTTCGAATATTCGGTGTGAGTCAAGGAAGTTACCTAAACACGTTGTTGTTCGGTCATTACTTTAAGTGGTTGAGAGATCTGAGCAGACTGAGTTAAACAGTTAACACATCTGTACGGAACAGACATTAGGCTACACTTGTTATCAGTGTGATATAACACTTGCGTAACATCATTCATATGACCAATCTTACTAATTGCCTCTGTCATTTTTAAAAAGATTGGCCGCCTTATAATTTTAATTTTATATTACATAAATTTTATTATGTAGCCTCTGGTAGAATTGTGTTTTTTAATTGTGTTGTAATAGCTTATCAATTTGTGGAAAATTGTGTAATATTAATTATCGTTTTTTCGTATCTAAAAAAAATTAATATTGCTGATAACATTTTCTTACTAGACTTTCAATGGGTTTTGACAAATTTTCTTAATTTTGTGTAATTTTCTACGTATTTTCAAATAATAAAAAACATTATTTAATTGAAATTTTGTTCATACTATTTTGTAAAAATGTCTGTAGCCTCTGTAATTAAATTTATCACTTTCTACTTTTGCCAATCTCAGTATTTTGAGTGGTTGAGCGGAAATCGGAGGAAAGGGAATTTGCCAAGAGTAACAAAATGGAGCAGCTTCATATTTAGCAGAGTGAACTTAGCGATCCGCTCAAGATCATAGAGCTATTGTTTCTCATTTGACAATCAGCCAGACTATTCCCATCTCTCTGCTCACATCTTATCTTTTATAGTTTCTTATGTAAGATAGAACCAGCCTGTGAATCTTACGTGATTACTTACTGATTAATTACATTATAGCCACAACTGTAAGAATGTTCTTGACCAAGATGCTTGTTTTTTTCTTCCCTCGAGTACAGGACAATGTTTAGGGCAAGAATGGTTTTGTTAGTAATCATAACTAGACCTACTATGTTTTTGGAGGCAAGGAAACCACTTTGTTTTCAAGTGACTCTTATAATCTAACCCTAAATTTAGTTACTGAATCAACCTACCTAACCTAATAGACTTTTTTAGTTTTAGTTATTGTCTTTCCATCGCTATTGTTTCATATTGTATTTTGTTTTGTGAAATTAATGTTCAAAATAAAGAATAAATAACGATTAAAGAATAAATAACGATTAGGTTATGTTTAATTAGGTAGCTAATGTAGGGTTAGTTTAAATGGTGATTTTAATACAGGAGAGTTTCCTTACCTCCCGAATCGTAGTTAAAAACACTAGTAATAGTCCAACTACTTTAACTTAAAATAAAATAATTATCCTTTGCAATAATGAGCAATAAAATCTGATTTACTGTCTACTTTATTGGTAGTTTACTATGTGTCTTGTATCGTTTGTCCAGGAGCTTCCTCCACCTGGGCGCTGGGCTGGCTGTAGGCTTCAGCGGGCTCGCGGCCGGGTTCGCCATCGGCATCGTGGGAGACGCTGGAGTGCGAGGTACGGCTCAACAGCCCCGTCTCTTCGTAGGAATGATCCTTATCCTCATCTTCGCCGAGGTGTTGGGTCTCTACGGTCTCATCGTCGCTATCTACCTCTACACAAAGGTCCAATAAACTCTCCCCTCCCCCTGTCATCATAAATGTAGGCGATCGTACCACCTCGAGTCGGATGATAGCACAATAATTTATTTTAAATCAGTTTCGTTTGTCCGATCTAAGATCGGACGTTTTAAAATTGTTTTTTATAATGTAAATCGTTACATAGATCTAAAGGTCTCATATCGATATTATTTCGAGTACATATTGCTATTTTTGTAAATATAGTGATTTCAGAAGCAGTGCTATGACCTTAGGTAGCTTTAAGCTTGTGTAAATTTCTCTGAGCCGAGTTACAAAAATGTATTTTTATTTGATCCGATGTAACGATCATTACCCTAGTGTAACGTAGGTGAAATGATGTAGCGAACTGTAAAAATCCTCGAGTATTTATCAAGTGGATAATTTATGTAAACAAACCGACGGAGGACACACGAGCCGTGATGTACTTCGAAAAGACTCTGTAGAATTAGTTCTGAGGCGGGAGCTTAGCGAGATTGTAAGCTATGAATAATTTGTACATTCCATATTGTGTAAAAACCCTAATAAAGAATGAGTTGTTACGGCCTGTGTGTTGCTGAGGCCTACCTTGGAGTGTTTTTGTTCTCCTATAACTAGATGTCCATAGCGTTGTTGTATCGTGCATAGCGCAGTGGCGTGCAGTGTTGTCACAACACTCTACGCCACTTCAGTTCACTGCCATCTAGTCATGGCTGTTAGGTTATCGTGTCAATAAATTCAACTTAAATTAGGTACTTGTGATTTATTATTTTATTTTTGTAGTATGTTAAATATAGTCGCCTGTTATTCTTTCTAAGCTGTGTGCTGTAGGCATGTCAGTCTGTTATATTGGTGTATGAATGGAGTCAAATGTAATAATATTATAAAACCACAAGTGTTAGTATTATTCTTCCTAGTCTTGTCGTCTAAGGTGTCCGAGCTAATTTTTCTTTTTCAAATTTTTTATCGTCATTTTTATCGGTTTTGCCCATTGAGGTATGTTACTTACTGTCGTGCTTATCTTTGGTTTTATTGTTATTGTATTTGGTTTGAAGGTTTAATAAAAGCAATCTGTTTTTATAATGTGTTTATTCATTCTCTCTGTAATTTTTTGTTTGATTTTACGTTACGCAACCTCCCATTTCAGTTTGAAAGTTTTTATTTGATTTCCCAGTTACATTTTACAAATTAATTATTATACTCGTCAAGACCATACCATTCATTATACTTGCAATATACAGTTTATGTTAAATTTTGAGTTGTACTTAAACTTTTTTTAATAAATGGTGCCAATATCATCGAGTTATTTGTTTTGTTTTTTTTTTGTTTTCTCATGTCATAAGGTTATCTATTTTTTTACAAACTCAGTTCCATTTTTGGGAAAGTTCCCTTGACTAGATAGCAGTGTTCTGGTGTGCAGAAATTAATGTTAAATTTTATTGTATACAATTTAATTAAATAAAAGTATTATGCAATTAAACAAAACGCCCTCTGACTTTTATTGCTTTGAGATTTCATTGAGTAGATTATCTCAAAGCCTTGGACCAAAACAAACATTTTTCCCAACACATTTTGATCATATTAACGGTAAATAAAATGTTAATTCACTTTTTGTGAGTAAGTCATGATTTGGTAATGTGTTAAAACGACGCAATTTTTACCTAACTGATAAACTACAATGCTGAAATTACTCCTTAAAAGTATGTTTTAAATCAATTTTAACTTTGTATTATTTCATCACATTTCATCCATACTACAATTTCAATGACTCATTTTAGTTATATTTAATTTATGTACCATTTTTCTATTTATCTGTGGTTTATTTATGTTAAACCCCAGTTCATTTTAGACCTGAATAGTATTCAGTACATCTAATAATGTTTTAAGGCCTTTTATAAATCTAAATTCAACAGAACAATGATTCAAAATTGTTGGAAGGTGGTGATTTCAAAAGCCTCAATCAAATACAAATTTTCCCAGTTGTTTGGAGTAAAAATTTGGGTTGAGTGTGACCAAATACAGAATTATACAGTTAAAATTCCTCTACAAATTAATTTTGATAAAAAGGTGTATTACAGTAGTTGAAAATCATTAATCAGGCTTGCTTTTTTGAATCCATACACATTTTGCAAGCGGCAAATGTGTCTAAGAACTTTTGCTGGAAAAGAATTTGCAACACATATAATATACTGAACTTTAGATTGTCTTGGTCCTCACATTATTATCAGAAGTAAAGAGTGATCACTAAAAGAATAACCCAATCAGTCTCGTGGACACTTTCTCTTATCAAAGACAATGAATGAAGACTTGGAGGTGTGAATCTGTGTCAAGGCAAGGAAAGCAGCGAGACTTGCCAACAACCAACCAGTTCTGTCTGCTGCTAGATGTTGCTACAAGAAAACTGATAAGTTATGTTCAAACCAGAGTTCTAACAGTGAAACCTCGATAACAAATGGTCCTTGATAAAAAGTTTCATTTCCAAAATATACCTTCAATTTTATATTACCCTTAATTAAATTGTATTGACCTTGATAACAAGTCTAATTTAATGTTTCCCATGAGATACTCGTTATCAAGGTACTGTATTACATATAGTGTGATACTATAAACAAAAGTGGATGAAAGAAATAGAATTTAAGTATGACGAAACACAGTTTTGAAAGTGATAGTTGTATGGGTAAATCCTTTCTCTTCAGTTTGATCATATTTATTTTGATTCCTGGTTGTATGCCAATGAATTTATCTTCAATAAAAGCCATTTCAACGTAAATGCCTATGACAGCACTACTCTCGTTAAATTAATTGAATCAGGAGGCATTAAAGGATGTGGAGAAGTTTAAGTTCTTATTTTAGCTATAAAAGAAGTAGAGTGGAGGTAAGAGGATCGATAGATTCTTGATTTCCCTCAACCAATTTTTAATGGTGCGAAATTCCTATAACTACTCCTTTTATCCAAGTTACACCCTTTGTGTTTTCATGATGCAATTGACAAAAAAACCTGTATTATGCTTTTGAATCTACATTTCTATGTAGAGTGTGATTTTCTACATATAAAATAATTTGGGGTTACCAGTAAAATATTTAGTGTTTGACATAAGAGGATTCTGGTAGTATTAGCTTGTGGTTAATTAAAAATGTCTTTCCAAAAAATTTCAAGGATGTCCATTTATGTTCCTATCTATCTCAATCAATATTTCAGAGAAATGACTTGACATAAACCTCAATGGTATTTTAAAAAAATCTTTTTGATAGATAATTTTATTGAATCAACAAGTCAGCAATAGCAATAATCAAACTCTGATACTAAAAACCATCTTCAGGCTAAAGGCTTTAAGCCAATTTTCATTTCATGATGTAGAGTTTTTTTTTTACACTTCCTTTGCAATCAATGATTATGCAGTAAATAATAATCTTTGTTTTATTATTTAATTCGTCTATCTGCAGAATTCAACTTTCTTGAATGTACACAGTTTTAAAGTTCTTCTTACTCGACAGAGTATTCTTAAGAATATCGTAGCGTTGAAATCAATATTTGCAAGGGAACAAGAAGGCTGGTTAAGGCTATTATAAATGGAATACATTAACATGAAGCCTTAGCTGCTAGATGATGTATCGAGAAAACATGATTACAGTATTAAATCATCTAGTTTGAAGTGCTTAACCAAAATTGTGGCCTAGAAACTTTCTGGAATTGGACTTTAGTTGGAGATCATTCTCAATAATTTCAATGACGTAAAATGTTTTTTTATGTCCATAATATCAGCTCAATTCCATCTGTGTTAACATCCAACTACCAAAACTGTTTCAACTTTTTGTTAATTCAAAAACACAATCTCAGTTTTCGTTGTATTTTTAATTTTTGTGTTGCAAAAGTGCTTACTTGATATTTTTTCTTTTTAAATTTATACCTTGAGCCTTGAATCGGTTTTTGACTTTCGGTCTAGGTACCCAATACACAGTAACTTCTTATAAATAATTAGATAATTTTAATAATTTTGATTCTTACTACTCTATGGATAAAGAGTAAAAGAAGACAACAAAACAGAGTACAAGAAGATATTATTAACAAAGACTATTAATTCCTAGAGTATGGTTATTTCAGACAAAAATGCAAAGTCATTGGTGGAAAGGGCCTTTCTTGAACTTGTATATCACCTGATCTAAGAGCCTGTTATTATCTGTTGTAAGGGACAAGACGAGGAACAGGTGAACTAGAAGATGAAATGAAATACTGGAATAACCGGTCCTAGGACTGTAGACATAGCTAGCAACCGTGTGTCGAGTGAGTGACGTGGAAACGAGATTTTTTATCTGTTTTGCAGTGTCAAAATCATTTGAAAGATTGCATTTTTACACTTAAGCGCACCTACTAATCTTAGTCTTCAAAGTAAATGTAAGTACGTTCGGACGTAACCATTGACTAAGGCTGCGCAACAGTAAATGGACTTGTTCTAATATTCTATTGTAAAATTTGAAGTAGGTTAAATTAGTTTTGTGGTATGCCTGGCGTAGTGAATGTTATCCTTTACTTGCGGGTTAATTGTACCACGTATGTATATTAAAATAATTGCCAGAAGAGAAGAAATAGTTTTATAAATAGATCGGTTTTATTTGATTATTATACTCCGTTCTCAAAATTTAGGTGGTTTTAAGAAACAACTTCAGCACTTCATCCCCTCCATATCATCCTTACTTTGAAACAACACCCAATAGCTAATCAGCTGATAATACATTTAGCAAAAAAAGGCGAGAGGACCCAAGAAAACCTTCCCCTTAAACCGCCGAAATGTTCAGAAATGAACCACAGACTGAACGGACTTAAGTTTATGAATCAGATATAACAAGAACTAAGTAAATATTAGCATTGTTCTTCGGCTAATTCGAAAGATTTGTTATCAAGATTGACCTCTTATTGAGGTTTGCAAAAACACGCAATTAAGGGTCAAATAGATTGAAAAGGTATGAAAATTACACTTGTTATCAAGGGTGACTTGTTATCGAGGTTCCTCTGTTCAACAATTTCGTGTGATCGTCAGCCAACCAACCATGGATTGATTGTTCACCCTTCAGTGATAAGACAATTCTACTGATAACAGCCAATCAGGACCTTATGTGATTCATTACTGATAGGGCAGAGTCTGGTGACACACATTCAGCTTGAACTCTTAAACATTATTGCTCTAATTCCTGTTACTGTTGTATAATCTTCTCGTCAAATCTTGGATTTTGAATACACCCATTGAATAAGAGTAACACCAAATTACTAACTTACCTGGTGAATTATATCAACCTTATCATCCCTTTGTACAGTTTTCTTCAAAAAGGCTTGAAACAAGGAAGTAAAAATTAGCACGAAATTCGTTAAAGACATGAGAAATGTTCAAGTGAAGATGAATCATGTAAGGAATATTAGTGAAGACGATCAAGATGAATGGGAGAAAGGTGAGAATGAAATGAGTATGGAACAAGCAAAAAATAGCTCTTTTGTATTCGAAAAAAGAATGATACAGAAATGCGTGTTAGTTACTGAAAATATGTTAATACTACGAAATAAAATACACATGTAACAATGTTGTGTTAGGTTTAGGTCAGTCTATTACAGTACCTACCAATACTCCACTCATGCAGGAAAGTAATTTTACATACGCTAAGGAAAATGGAGGATGAAAATTTAGATTTGAACACACCCTTTGACCTCTTTATTTTAAATTTGAAATGAAACATGATTTCGCAACTCAACTTGTTACTTCTTCACTTGTAGAATAATCTCACAAACCCTTTGTACCAGGAGGAACACTTTAAGTCATTGCAATGGTTAAAATCGTCATAAACTTGGAATATCATCTATGAGTTAAATTGCGGTAGTGAAATTAAAAACTAAGGAAACCTGTTTTGATCATGCCATTCGTCACAGCTTTTAAACATAACTTAAACTCCTTTCACACTTTGACAAACACGTTCATCTAGCCTAGTCTACTCAAGAACATGGCTGTCCCTGTGTGTAGGGAGGGCTTAAAATATAACAACGAAAAACAATTTTCATAAAATTTTCAAAACAGGAAACCTCACAAGGTTCTAAGGTTTCTTTTGCTGCAATGAACTAAAGTGAGTTTTAAAGGTGAAGAAGTACACATACGTTGACACACTCGGCAGCGTAAGGTGGTCTCGGCAGATTTTGTTGACATAAACTCCCACTTGCCGTGTTCAGCATGATGGGAGACCTAGGACATTGGATCCACCGTCCAGGACTACACCCGTGTAATCCTGGAGGATATATCCACCTGACTCGAGCTCAACATCAGCCGTGGAACTGGACAAGTGGATAATTTATGTAAACGAAATCTGGGGAGACCAACTTACGCCGGGCATATCAAAGTATTGCGGAGTTGCGAATGTGGAGCGAGCCTACAAGGCCGCGTTGGTGTGTGGCAACGTCGCACCGGCCGGCTTATCACCATAGCAACAGTAGAGAAACAGCTGTTTCGGTAGGCCGGGATTGCGGTGTTGCCACTTTTGCCTGGCCGCGGAGGAAGGAACTGGAGCTACTGTTTGGTTTCTCACGAAGCCGGCAATGAGTGCAGAATGAATGGGATGGAATCTTTGTTTATGACTAAGGTAGGGAGAAAGAAGTCAATATACTCTGTTAGTTCTTCTGGAGTAAGAGATACGACTCGTGATTTTAGAATGACAAAGAAACTTCATCTCTCAAGAAAAAGCACTGAAAGAATGAAACTGTTGAAAACAAATGCAGAATAAGAATAAATTGCTACACATCATAAAGGTTATGATTTACAATAGCAAATAATTTCTGGTAATAACATGTTGAAAAAGATTGTATTGTAACAAGAAGTAAATTTAGCGTCAATACAAATTATTTCACGTAGCCTACCGGTATTTGACTATAAAAAATATACAATACTTGGAACTATGTTGAGTGACATCAGTGGTTAAATTATGCTTGAAAATAAAAACAAACAATTTTAGATTTATTATAAACATGCTGTACAATAATAATTCACAAAAATCCTTACAGTGTTGATGTGTTGTGTATTTAAAATTCGGAGAGCGTAATTACCTAAGCATGTTTAACGAGAAACGTGTTCAACATTTTAACTTTCTGGACGCAAATTTTGTTCATAGTTCGTAATGGTTAATGAAACATGTAAAACCGGCGTGGAAGGCGCTAGGACAGAAGACGGACACTGAATTTATTACACATAATATCACTATAAACTTTAAGATTGGAGATCCTGGTTCATGATCCTGTGGATTTGGTGAACAAGTAAATCGCAACGATCAGCCCGTACAGACCCAGTACCTGCAAAACAAGAAAGAAATGGAGATTACAAATGTAACGCATACTGAGTTGTAAATTAATAACGAGTTTGCTGAGTGCTTTGCGAAGATGAACATCATCCTTGAGGACCCCATTATTGAAGCTGTAGACCCAATAGGAGTTAAGTACTAAAAAAGTGGTTTTGTTCGTTCCGCAACAGATTTACTTGGGATATTGAATTGGTTGGTAGACCAACTTTAGCCAGTTTTGTTTTCAATCAGGAAGAACGTTCTAAATAATCATCATAGCGAGCGTTACTCTATCAATGTTCTCTTCACCCCTTTAGTTTTTCAATTAGTTTTGTGTAACTTTGAGGGGTACAAATTATTCTTGAGTTTGGAACATGATATAATTGGCATAACAAAATGAAAAAGACATTTTACAGCATCACTTTCTAATACTTCACTGTAATAATCTATAAAATGTACTTTAGTGGTTTCAATCATTCAGTCATTTTCAGTCATTTTACTTTAGTTACCTGACATGATATATTTTTGTATCTTAACATATTTCATTCCATTCACATTTTCTAGCATTGTCGTCCTTTTTATTCTCGTGAACGAGCCAAGAAAGGGATGTAAAAATCCGTTCATATAATATCTGCATTATATCGAAAATTAGGGGTTGATTTTTGTTGAATTTGATCCATTCAAAACCCAGTACCAAAGAAAGATTGTCTGTAAACCGAAGATGCAATACCGTCAATTGATTCCCAAACAAGGTTCAGTCTACGTCTCATTCCTCCAACACATTTCATATTAACACCAACCTCAGCGAAGATGAGAATAAGGATCATCCCGACGAAGAGACGAGGCTGTTGTGCTGTTCCTCTGACTCCAGAATCACCCACGATGCCAATGGCAAAGCCTGCAGCCAAACCGCTGAAACCCACAGCCAACCCGGCTCCGAGGTGGATGAACCCTCTGCAACAAACAGCTGATTAGAACATTGTTGCAAAAGACACTTCAACAATAATCAATTCAACTTATAATCATTTGTTGAGAAGATGCTTCTGGGTGAACTGTCTTTGAACTAAACTGTTTTCATCTGTAGGCTTTCGTGGCCGGTATTATGAGAATCCAATGTGGCTTTCGGCGTCAACCGCACCGTCAATAGTCTCAGCCTTCCATCATGAGGCCTCTTCAAAGTAAGGTGAACATGACTGATAGCAATTTATGATGACCGCCAATAACTACCATGAATTCTCTTAGTTGTAAAAGTTTTATTTTTAAGAATTTTAGCAAATCAATTGAAAATAGAGTGCAAAATGCCTGTGCTTTATTGAGAGGAAAAGGTAATCTTTGGTTGATGTGGGATGAGGATGAGCTTCTGTGTTTGCCTTGAGAAAATTCTTACACAATAGAATATGAGTTATCCAAGCCTCTATCCCTTTACTACCCGTAAGATCTCTAACAATACTCACTGGAAGATGGTGTACGAGTTCGGTTTGAGCTGTCCAGCTATCAGGACAGCCACGACCAGGCCGTAGATGGCGATGATACCAGCCATGACCACGGGGATGATGGACTTCATGATCTGTTCTGGTCTTAGGACAGACATGGCGGCGATTCCTGTGCCTGACTTGGCTGTCCCATAGGCGGCTCCCAGAGCTGCAAAGGAACTTGGTGTTGAAGAACCAACTAAATATTCCCCAACTTATAGGCCTACTACAGAAGGTTTTACTGACTATTGCAAAAAAGGCTTGAATATTTTCGATCATTACTTAAGCATGAACCTCAGAAGGTACGATTGTCATAATTCCCAAAGGTATAAAAAGGTAAAGCCACTTCCAAAAAAATAGTGTTTGCAATGTTCACGATTTTGAATGCTTCTTTATATCTAAGGAAGATTACATTGGAAAGATTATTTAATAAATATAGCTTTTCTTTGTGCCTGTGTATTATGAAAAAAATTTCTTGGTGTTCAAGAATATACCGTAATATTTTATAACAATCTAAACCTACTCGAGATTTTACGAATGACCTTGCCAAGGAAGACTTGAATATTTTTTATTAGCACCTACGGATGCAGCCCAGAAAACCCAAGAGTCTTAATATCTAAAAGTAAAGCCGCTTCCGAAATGTCCGAACAGAAATTTGAGTGACTACATGATGTTGACGATAATTTGCCTGTTTCATCCAACGTTTAGACTTACAGTGGGTGAAATAAATAGTTTTCTTTATGCTCGGGTATTATGAAACATGGATCTATTGAAGCACAATAACACTTCACGCTTTTATGAGATTACGAGTTTCGCAATGTCCAAAACCGAAGTCTGTTGATGGGTTATTTCCGATGTGAATAATGAAAGACCGACGCTGTTGATTTAAATAGTTCCAACTTAATAAGACATTTTAGACATTATGCAGCGATGATCTATAACTTGTTCAACATGAGATGTGCGGCTTTGAAAATTCTGACTGTATTGGAATTATCCGTTTAAAATGTACTTGGACGTAACTTGTAGTGGGTATGTCTCACGAATACTTGACGAGAAACCCGGAATATCCAAAATTAACTGAAATATTAATAAGGTTTTATAAGATCGTTTATTAGATATTGCCGTATGTGGAATACGAAAACTACGCAGTTTAAATGCATTAAATGTTGCATCTCTCCATTCACTTAACACTCATTTATCCCAAACTTACTCTTACCATCATCTCATGAATCTAATAAAGCTTCCACAACCGTTTATACATTATTAGCGGATTTCCCATTTAGGGAAGTAGCTACTACCAGGTCTCATTGTACGACCTGGGCCCGGGACCGATTTACTTTTTCGTCTTGATGTTCCCAGTGGCCAAAAACACCATCTGTTCAAATTTATGTAAACGTGTGTGTATTTCCATCAGCACATTAACTCGAGCAAAACTCATCCGATTTTGATCAAATTAGAAGCAAATGTTATTCTTAGGTTCGAACGAGTTCGCGAACCAGATGATCGTACTAAAGGGAACGGGGTTTTATGGGATTAAAATAGGTTTCCCCATCTTCCAAAAATTTTAATTTCACAATTTCTCTCCAAACTATTTTGTAGAGTTCAACCAACGCGGTTGATTCAATATGATTTTCCTGCTCTAGCTGTGATACACTATCATAAAAATTTCTGAATATTGACTACATAAACATAAACTTACCGCTAAAAATGATAGCCGATGAAGCGCCCATCGCGCCGAAAAAAGGCGCGTAAGCGGGCGTACCAAGTTGATCTCCAGACGACATTTTGATCAGCTGTTTCACTCAGAGTCGATAGAAGAAAACCTTCTCGCCACCTCTGCTCGTCTGATGATTTCGAGTGTTTCGTTTGATTGATTCGAGTATTCTCCGTCGTGAGCTCACACCTTCAGATAACCCTTATCTTTGATACTTCTCCCAGTCATTGTTACCTTCGATAGTGATAATGCGGTTGTTCAAAATGTTTGTGTTGGAAAACCAAAAATCTTTTCAATGGCTTTGGAGTTATTATTTCCTCTAAACTGTTTTCTGAGCTCAAAGCTTTGATTATTACTTTTCTTCTAAACTATTACAGACTGAAATTTCGTTAGGAAGAAATAAGTTACGTTGTATGGGTCTTCTTTATTTGAATTTGAAGGTAAAATAGATGGATGGACTTCTCATTGCTAGAGTATTAAAACTACACTTAAACTACACATGTAGGTGTAGGTAAAACTATTATTGATAATTAAAGACCGTCTAAAGGTTTAGTTCACCTAAGAAGGTAAAAATCATCTGTATTGGTTTATGTAATGTGTTCACAAGTCTAGTCCTACCTATTCTTTTTGTAGACCTATCGGTTTCCTATCACTTGATTGGATGTACTTCCTAGCACTATACCCTGTATGATGGAACCTGTATCCTGGGACTAGCGCAATAGTTTGTCCCGGGCCAGTTCTAGGTAGACGAAGGTTAACGAGACAGGTTCCATTATACAGACTGAAAACAGTAGAAGAATTTTAAAATAGTAAGGTTGGTGAATTTAACACCTACTGGTGAATTCCTGCTGTTCAATCACATCACATATATCTATGGAACCATCACCTGATCATAAATGTATCAAAGTATGCTTATTTTCCAGATTCTTTCGGACTAAAAAACACTGTTCCCGTCAAGAGGTTTTAAGCTCCAAATGACCAGAGTGTATAGTCTGTATGAGGGAACCTGTCTCATGTCCCTCCATCCTGGAACTTATTCGAGCCTTAACCCATTGGCCTATCCCCATAAACGGAGTGTCAGGAGACAGGTTCCATTGTACAGAGTATAGGAAATATTGCAGACAACAAGAGTTCGCTGTTCAAACAATGCAGTCTGGCTTTCCCAGAACCGACCTTCTATGACGTCACCGGGAAATGGCTACACTTTACGTAACCTGCAAGTGTTAGACTGTCGAGACACGTTTATTTAGTGATAAAAATAATTGAACGAAACAAGTAACATAATACAGTAAAGTAAAATACTTAGTATTGTTGGGTTACAATGTTTTATCCCCTATCATTTTCACCAGAAAGTCATGTATGATCGTGTTCGCCTATTAATTAGAAGTCGCCGGAGAGGAATCAATGATTTTGATGGTTCACCCAGCTGTTCTTCTGTCTACAAACAGCTGATCTTAGTCAGTAAAGCTACACAGATGATCTCACTCCATTCTACACTATCCTTGCATTCATTCAGCTGATTACGAACCCAATAAGTGAGCGTTAACAATTTATAATTGAATTGATTGATGGTTGATTAATATGAGTCTTACGCATTTGAGTATATAATTATCGACATGTTCTAGGTTTTTTTAGTCAAATCAGTTATTTTGGTTGATTCACTTCTGGAAGTGTCAGTAAAGGGAAAACGTGTGAACTAGGGGGTTTTATAACATCAACGAATCATGGTCATGAGGATGTATTTTAAGATAAAGATAAAGAATGGAGTCAGATGGTATTTTAGCTTTGTTACTGACTAAGATCAGCTGTTTATTAGCCACGACCATTTAGACAGGATTAACCAGAAGTTAGCAAATATTATTGCTAACAGAAATTAACTTCATGCAGGAAAGTGTGATGTTTTTGCACACATTCTACAAAACTTGCCGAACTCAATACTTTTGCACGGGAACGGTTCAAACCCTATGCATAGCCAAGGACAAGGTCGGGTTGCGTCACGAGTCACGCGACTTGGGATCACGTGGTTCGAATCTGGGACGCGGCCTCCTCGATCTCTCATGTGGGACATCCGGGACATAGAATGCAACTTTGTACTAACATTAGTCATATTCAACATATAAAGGTTCGTGCAACTGACTTTAATTGTTTTCCTAATAAAATACGTCAAGAGATTGATTGAAACCCCGAAGGTTTGAACGATTTTTAAAACCAAAGTCGTTGAATAGGCTTCAATATAAATGTGTTGCTAATCGTAACTAGTAAACCTCGAAAAATCTAAATAGTTTCATCATTGTTTTGAATCTTATTGGAATACCTCGTAGAATTTGTACACCCCCTCCCAACATGCTTCATTTCAATAATTTCCATACAAAACAATGCATCATTAGAAATCTGTAAAGTAGTAACATCATATTGGTTTATAAGACATTGCAGATAGTTTGGCAACACTGAACGATTTAGGACTCGAAGTTAGATGAGACAAACTAATAAGGATGTAACAAAAGGAAAGTTTCCTGAAACAGCTCGTACGTTGTTGTACTCGAAAAGATTCCAAACTCCTTTGAAGTACTAGAACAAGTAAAATTATATTGCATACTATTTGAAATATACTACAACTACAGTACCACTGATTATAAATTATTGGATTTTTTGCTAGCTAGTTTATTTTATTTACAATTGTAACCAGACATCAAATGCGTTCACTGTGATTCAAAGGTTGGGAATATTTAAAGTATTTTGTTACCAACAATTTAGTGACTAAAGTCAAATTTTAACTCAAGCAATTTTTCGTCAAGGTCGCTAGTTTCTAATCAGTTTTGTTATCGTGTTCATTGTGATAAGAGTTGGGTGGACGCCACCGCCCCGCCAGTCACCTGACTAGGGGGGGGGGGTTCTGCCCCCCTCTCTTAGTCAGGTGACCAGACTAGGGGGGGGGGGTCACACCTAGGTGACATGAATCAAGTGTCTCTTATCATTACCTGTGTTATTCCACTCGAAATGTGATAAGAGTAAATTCAATTAAAGTGGATGCTGTAAACAGCAATAATTTAAAATTATTGATCATCATAAGGCATAATGTTTGATAGTACCTACAAGATTTTTTTAACATAAATAATTAGGCCTACAGCTACCATGAGAAACCTTTTACCAAATCAGCTCACTAACTCAAATATGTTCTTTTTGCAATCTCAAATATCTTGCAAAAACGCTAAAGCTGGAACTTATACACAATACATTTCCAATAACCTTAAAACTCGTAGATAACTGTGTGCAACAATGCATCAGCTGATTGGATATTGAATAAAATATGCATGTATGCCAAACTAAGAGCTCGTTAAAAAGTCTTCTGGTACTTGTACAGCTAGCGTCAGCTAAGCTGGCTCATGGTGGTCTGTGGGCCTGGCGCGGCACCATAGGCGGGGGGAGGGTGGAAACTAGCTTAAGACCGTTCTGAGAACATCGGACTGTCAGACGTGAGGTCCCGCGTTCCGACCGGGCAACTCTGCGAACATCTCGGCTGACTCACGGGGTTGACGTCCTAAACAAACTATGACTAATAGAGAGGGTGCTGTTATGACAAATCTTGCACGTTCCTAAGCACTGTGTCTACTCAGTAGTGAGTTTTGCTTGTGCAGTGTCACAGTGGATCGTGAAGTGGACTGTTTTCATAACGAAACGTGTGTGAGTTTTTTTGTCATGGCAGAATTTAAATCGAAAGTAGGGATTGGTGGTAAGGTTTTAAATAGTCAGAGTAGGGAAATCGTGGCAAATGTTTATACATTTATGAAAGAGGAGTGCAAGAGCGGCATTACAATACCACTACAGAAGGCGAGGGAGCGGACCGCAGCAGCAACCGGTGTATCTCAACGCTCTGTTACCCGGATAAACAGCGAACTAAACGCTTTAAAGGTGAGTGAGGATGATAATAAATCTTTTTTAACACCTCACAAAACAAAAAGGAAGAAAAAGCCGATTACTGGCCTAGACCATTTCGATGAATGTGTGGTTCGTAGGACTGTCTATGAATTTTACATAACAGAAAAAAGACTGCCGACGTCAAAACTGTTGCAGAATTCTCTTAAAGAAAAGTTGAACTTTCAGGGAAGTCAATCAAGTGTTCGGAGGATTTTGAAAAAATTAGGATTTTCCTGGAAAAGGACACAGAATAATCGGAGGATTCTAATTGAAAAATCTGAGATTAGGGAAAAGAGAATTACTTATCTCCAGTCACTCAAGCGATTCAGGTCGGAAGGGAGACCCATCGTGTACATGGATGAAAGTTACGTATGTTCAGATCACGTATCTGGGAAAATGTGGTCGGATGGATCAAATAATGTTTTGCATACGCCCGTGTCCAAAGGAGAAAGACTGATAATAGTTCACGCTGGAGGGGAACAGGGGTTCGTCCCAAACGCTTTGGCCATGTGGAAGGCAGGCCAAAAATCCGGCGACTACCACGACAACATGAACAACAAAAATTACATGCAATGGGTCATAAATCAACTGATACCAAACTTAAATCCTAACTCTGTATTGGTTATTGACAATGCGAAGTACCACAACAAGCAAATTGATAAGGCCCCGACTTCCAATAGTAAAAAAGAAGAAATGACAAAGTGGCTTTCCGAGCACAACATTTCCTACGATCCAACAATGCTAAAACCTCAACTTTACAAACTCATTCTTCAACACAAACATCGATATGTCAAATATGTCCTGGATGACATCTTGGAAAGGGAAGGCCACAGTGTACTGCGTCTGCCCCCGTGTCATCCTGATTTGAACCCAATCGAGATGATATGGGCAGATGTAAAAAACTATGTTGCATCACACAACACGACCTTCAAATTGTGCGATGTGAAAAAGCTTTGTGAAGAAAAGTTTTCTTCGATATCGCAACAGGATTGGGAATGTAAGTGTAGGCACGTTAAAAATGTGGAAAATGAATACGCCGCCAAAGAGCCAGCCATCGATGAAATAACGGAAAGTTTAATCATTAATGTAGACGACAGCACCAGCGACGACGAGGGAACGAGCGACTCCGATGAATTCAGCGATATGTCTGGGATTGAGGAGTTATGATGGACCAACTCCTGATGGACCCATGGGGTTTGTGGCAGTTTAGTTCTATTAAGTTATTTCTTGTAAGAACATTTATTTGAATAGT